GCTAGACAAAGTGAAAGATTTTCTAATTTATTGGTATAACCTTGATTAAAAAAACCCCAAACTCCTAGAAAGATCAAATTAATGGTCAGTGGCGTGCAGTGCCGTGTTGGAAGTCAAGGTGGACCCTCTCTGCGGGCCCCTGCCTTCAAGGGTTGTCCCAGGTGGAATCCTGGAAAGTAAGCAGCCCACAATCAGATTAGGAAGGGAAAAAAGACCAAACGCCTGAAGAAACAGGTACCATGAATGAAAATAAAAGCAACAACAGTAGACACAGGCCTGCAAAGACCAGATATTTAAAACAGTTCGTTGAATATATTCAAAGATTTAAAAGAAACCTGAAAATTCCAACAGGAGCAAGCAATCTTGAAAATGTGGTTCACATACACGTCATGATTACCACGGACCTAGGCCTGGAGTTAGATCCTAACCCCGTGACCCTGGGTATGTTTTAAGAGAAGCCAGAAATCTGAATTTTTGTGTAAAATGTCCTAAACTTTAATTGTTGGCAACTAAAGCATCTTGTTTATCTGTCTACTGGCTCTACTTCTTAATATTATTTTCTTAGCTGTTGCTCTAACTAGGGCTGCGGTTTGCATCCTTAACTCATGACAGGCTACTTAGAGTTAATATACCACTGGGTATAAAATACAAGAATCTTGGAACTGTCTAGATTGATTTACTCCCTTCCCCATGCTACAGTTGTCATATGTATTACATCTATTAAATTATAACTCCAGTGTTACATATTTTGCTTTAATTATTTGAATTTTAAAGAAACTAAGAGGAACAAATAGTCTTTTATATTTGCTCATATATTCACCATTTCTGGTGCCCTTCATTTCTTCCTAAAGATCCCAGTTTCAGTCTGGTGTCATTTCTCTTCAACCTGAAGGACTTCCTTTAGCTTTTCTCCTAGTGAAGATCTGATGGCAGCAATTTCTTAGTTTGTATTTCTCTTAAAATGTATTTTGTCATCACTTCTGAAGGATATTTTTTCTGGATATCAAATTCCGGTTGGACAGTTGTTGTTTTTTTCCCCATTACTCAAATCATATCTGGCTTCTGTTTCTCATGAGAAGTAAATAATCATCCATATCATTGTTTTGTATGTAACAGGTCTTTTTTCCCTCTGACTGCTTTCCAGGGTTTCTCTTTATCTTGGTTTTTAGGCATTTCAACTGATGTGCACCTGGGTGTAGGTTCTTTTATATATAACCTGCTTGAGATTTGCTGAGCTTCTTGAATCTGTAAATTGATGTCTCACTGAATTTGGGAAGTTTTTCTGGTTATTTTTTCCCAAATATTTTTTTCTTTTAAATGACTGACTTTAAAAAGAATATTTATTTGGGGCTTCCCTGGTGGCACAGTGGTTGAGAGTCCGCCTGCCGACGCAGAGGACACGGGTTCGTGCCCCGGTCTGGGAAGATCCCACATGCCGCGGAGCGGGTGGGCCCATGAGCCATGGC